GCTGTGGAAACCCACAGAATATTGTATGAAGGTTATGGCAATGACTTTGGGTAAAACAATATTCTATGAATGACAAAAATGATTTAAAAGCATAACTTCAACAGGTGATGATGAGGACAGGGCAACCTTCAACTCTGATAGCAGAAGGGACTGGAATATTCTGTGGCACATGTTACACAGTCTGAACACAAAATTTAGAAATGCACCAGGTCCCAATGAAATTCATTCATTCATTTCATTCCATTGGACTAGACAGATGATCATGCTTATTAGCTGGAAGTTCTGAGGCAAACAGGGGATGTAAAGGATGTGTTACAAAGAAAACGACACAAGATGTCGACTGTCAGAATGTGGCACTTCCATCATAACAATTAACCACCTCAGACAGTGATGTCAATGCAAGGGTTCTTGTTTCCTGTCCTTCCACAACCTCCCCATTTGCCTGACCTATTGTGTGTGTGTGTGTGTGTGTGTGTGTGTATGTATGTATGTATATATGTATATGTATCTGGATAAACATTCTTTTCAGAGTTTCAGAACTGAATTTTGTCAGTCAAATTAATCAAACTATATATGGTATTCCAATTTTCTTGCATCATTACAATATTCAGAACAGCAGCTTCATGGAATTATCTAGTTTGGACCATATATACTAGGTGGTTCAAATATGACCGGGACTGATTTTTTTGTAAACAAGCCGCACTGTGCAGCAGCTGTGCGACCTTGAGAGAGTGAAGCCACAACCTCCACCCTCACTCCTGTTAGGGTTAGAACCTGTTCAGACCTGTCTGGAAGTTGCTAGAGTGGCGAGCGAACAGAAGGTACCGCGGAGCATGGAACAACGCATTGTGATCAAATTCCTCATTGGAGAAAACATCCCGTCCGCTGAAATTCACCACAGACACCAAAAACAGTACGGGGAAGAGTGTATCTCATGGACCCGTGTGTTTGAGTGGTGTAAGTGCTTCAGAGAGGGCAGAGAGCGCGTGGAGAATGAACCACATGATCGTTGGCCGTGAACATCAGTCACCAAGAAAAACATTGATCGTGCAGACGCACTTATTCGTGAGAATAGGCGCATCACTATCAAGGAACTTGGAGCAATGCTGTCCATCAGTGTTGGTAGTGTAGAAGACATCATGAAATACCACCTGCACCATCGCAAGGTGAATGCACAGTGGGTACCACGCACTTTGACGGATGTGAACAAAATGGTGCGCATGCAAGTTGCCAGTCGTCTCCTACAGCAATTCGAAGATGAAGGTGATGCATTTTTGAAGTCTATAGTGACCACCGATAAAACGTGGGTGCACTACTTCATTCCTGAGTCCCAGCAATCATCACGCGACTGGCGGCATACCAGTTCTCCTAAACCCAAGAGAGCGCGGAGGACCCGTTCTGCAGGAAAAGTGATGGCAACGTTCTTCTGGGACTGGCAGGGGGTTATCCATGTAGACGTTCTGACAGATGCCAGAACAGTCAATGCAGCTTATTACTCAGACCTCCTGGCAACAGACGTGAAGGAAAAGATCCGATCGAAGCGGAAGAGTGGTGCAAAGCAGGTAGCCTTCCTTCAAGACAATGCATGCCCCCATACGGCCAAAACAATGGAAACCCTCCCGAAATTGAAATGGAACCTTCTGACACATCCACCATACAGTCCCGATTTGGCACCAAGTGATTTCTACATATTCAGAAGGCAAAAATCAGACTTGCAAGGCATGTGGTTTGTGGATGACACCGTCATCCAGAATGTTCGGGAGTGGATACGCCGCCAACGATAGAACTTTTTTGAAAAGGGCATCAGGATGCTTCCAGAACATTGGAAAAAATGTGTTGACTCTGGAGGGGAGTACGTTGAAGACTGACATGTGCAAGTAAGTGTTTGGCAATTTTGGTTTAAAAAAAAAATCAGTCGGTCATATTGGAACCACCTTGTATATGAGGGCTATTCAGAAAGCAGGAGCCTGGGAGAGCTTGCACGTGAGTCACATGACTCATTCCCTTGTAAACCATCACATAACTGCTCACCTAGTGTTTGTTCTTGTCTCTACAGGGTGAGCTATGGTGTGTTCTATGACTGATAATCCCAACAGCTGCAAAATTCACACAGTCATCCACCTTCTTCATGCTAGAAACAGAAGTGCTGAGGAAAACCATTGTGAATTATGTGCAGATTATGGCCAAAATGTAATGAGTGAAGGAACTGCAAGACGATGTAGAACGTTCAAAAATGGGTGAACAAATATTCACGATCAACAGAAAAAGTGGCTGGCCATCTATACTGACTGAGGATCTTGTTCAAAGTGAAACACAGTGCTTCACAATTTCAGAACTTTAGCATGAATTTCCACAAACTTCACCCACTGTTCTCTACAAAATTATTAGAGTTAGGCTAGGCTATCACAAATTTTGTGTAAGATGGGTTCCAAAATGCTCACGGATGTGCACAAAATGCAGGGAATGGCTATGGCTTTTACTTTTTAGAACCATACTACAAAGATGCCGATGATTTTCTCAATTACATTATATGGATAACAGCTGATTAAACCTGGGCTTCATCTGTGAATGCTGAACCCAAAGAGCAGTCAAAGCAGTGGATGCACACATTCGACAAACAAGCCAAAAACATTTAACCTTTAACGTACGGACTTTTAAATTGCCGGCAGCTCCCCATGGCCGGAATTTAAATGGCCCTAAGTCTTTAACATTGCAAACTTTCTAAAAAAAAATGCATATTTTCTGTTCTATGCAACATCAGAATATGAACTAAAAACAACCTGAAAGACAATAAAATTTTCTACATATACACTAAAGGGTAAGTTTTAAAAATGAAAATTAACTGTGATTATTTTGTCATGAAATGGAAAATATAATCTTTATTATATACGTTATGAAATTCTAAAGGACTTACCCGTTGTTTTTCTTCAACCTTGAATCGTGGTGGTGATGTAAATATGATGACAGTATATACAATAATATTTGGTTCAGACTGTACATGGTTTGGACTGCGTCACTTCACAGTTTACACTCTGACCCGCATGCGCCAATTCTCGAAGCAGTCCACCACACACAGCGCAACATTACACTTTTACAGCAGAAAAGCGTGCTCCTGCTTTCCTTGTTTATAGAACGCGACGTCTTTGTTTCCCTTTAGTTGGCCAGTGTTTTGAATGTTTCACCTCTAGTCGACTCAGTTGGGCCCCAGATGAACTTGGCCTCCCCCAAGAAACGCCACTGACTGTGAGAGTCGCCTCATGTGATTGAAGAATCAAATCATGTACCAAAATTTCACGGAATTTTTTGTGCGTCATTTTTCCATCACATGACTTGTGTAACAGATATGCATCTTTACGTCTTTACGCAAAATTGTGATGCAAAGTAATTGCAATAGCAGTCAAAAGTGCCAGTCCGCCACTGATACCGAAAGTCACAGTGACGAAGATGTCTTTACGCACAAAGTAGCACTGGCTCAATGGGTTTATACCTCTTCTGAGATACACAATAAAAATGATATACAAAGAAATACAGGAGTCTGACAATGACTTCCTACCTAATAACGAAATATTAGAAAATCCGCCACTGACGTCCTAACTGACAATTCAACACTGCAAACCAATCCCTGAATGCATCACACTTCCTTGAAAGCTCTGGTAGCACTGATATGCAGTGCCCTCGAATATTTCCTCCTCTAAGTTCTCAAAACAAAGCTGACCTCTATTGGCTCACCAGGTCATAAACACTCATATCTAAACATATATAGTTTCGAAACCAGTACCCTGATAAACGGTGTCATTGTTTAGAGCTAACAAATAAACGTCTGACATGAAAGTTCATGAGTTTGTTTGGGTTTCAAACCCAAGGTCAAACTGCCAGCACTCACAAAGGAAGCAGGTGGCTTGCCTCTAAAAATTATAACATTCTGCCACTGGGCTTGCTACTTGCTGCCAATAATTATAACATTAGGCCGTTAAAGGTTAAACAAATGTTGACTGCTAGAAAGCTGATGGCAACTGTTTTCTGGGAAGGGAAGGGAGTGCTGAAGGTGGAATTCACACAACAATGCTCTACAGTACCATCACAAATGTACTGCAAAACACTTAAATAACTGCATAGGGTCAATAAAGAAAGGTGTGGAATACTGACATCCAGTGTAGTGCTCCTGCATGACAATGCACGTCTGCATACAGCTGCTTGCACTCAAGCACTGCTGGAGCATTTATACTGGGAGTTGTTTGACCACTCTCCTTATAGCCCTGATCTCGCTTCAAGTTACTACCACCTATTTAACTATCTGAAAACTGGTTGGTATCACAGCACTTCAACAATAAAGAGTTGACTGAAGGTGTCAAAAGGTGGCTGAGCTCACAGGTGGCAGGCTTCTTTGACAGAGGTATACCAAAACTTATTCCCCGATATGACAAGTGCATCAATTCCAGTGGTGACAATGCTTCAAAGAATCTTAAGTACGTGTACGAGCATGTACCTTTTTTTCTGCATATAATTTTTTTCTCATTGCTTTAATAGCTCAATGGAGGTTACTTTCTGAATAGCTCTCATATTTTTACATCCCTTCTTCATGATTTTACACACTTCAGTCACCTCAGTGTGCATTTACTGTAGATATCAGCCAGTTACTACAAGCAGAAATTTACTGCTGTAAAGTTAATCATTTTACACTTCATAGCATAATGAATAACTATTTGTTGTATTTGCTAAATGATGTAAATCATTGATATATTTTGTTATATGCCAATTTCTGTAAAATGTGCCATGTTTATAGAAAAATTATAAAAGTTAATCTCTTATGCAATGAAGGTGCTATATTAAACTGATCTGAAACAATTAAATTTTCCCGGAAGTTTGAGCATGGACATCCAACATAAAATTTAATATTTAATCAGTATCAACTGAGCCATTCTTGGTACAAAACATGCAAATGGATACATACGACTTCCCCATCATGAGTTCATTTCAAGTAGTAAGAGTGTGAAACTTACCCAAAGAACTCACTGAGGAACGTGTGGTAGACTAGTGGTGTTAGCAGCGTGAAGTAAATGCATGTTGTTACATCCACAATGCAAAGTCCCTCTCCAATACCATAGTTTAGAAGGCCACTGCCTATGGACTGAGCAAGGTATAGCACCACCAAGAAAAATATATATATGTAGAATGAACGTTTGGCTGAAAGATAAATTAGTTTAGTTACTACACTGTTCTAAAAAAATTCTCAGTATATAAAGTTTGCTTTCCACCTTATGAATATTACAATATGATATTATTAGTATATTATTTATCTCATGATATTCTCCTAGTTTTGGTATGTTACTTTCTTACCCATTCATAAGATTTTTACCAAAATGAATTACTTAAGCAATAGTTATGAATAGCCTTTCTAAGGCAATGAAATTCTATACAGAAACTGGATGCATCTGTAATCTGTTCATAACCTGTTTCATTTCCAGGCATTAATGTTACAGACACTGACTTCTTAGCACAAATATCATGCCATTAGAGACCAACTCATTTTGATACTTCTCAACTTGTGATCAACAATACCAAAATGATAACCAGATAATCTTGCAAGGAGGGAACAACAGTATTTTTCTATGTAACCTTCCCAGCAAATCTACACACTCCTTATGTAACCTGATTTCACTTTTTGTATTCATGAGTAACTGTTAACATTCTTTGCAATACTTCACATAACCTTGCATTTGCCATTCCAGAAGTCATGTATATATTCATTCAGTCATTCATTTTATTTGGCATTCATAATTGCTACAACAGTAACACTTGAACAAGTCACATCACTAAATACATCAATCTTGAATTTTTTTTGTCCCAATGCCTAAAGGATTAGAAATCGTCAAAAATAAATAATCACTCTTGACATGGTTAACCTATAATAAAAATACAACACACATTATCAAACCAGATAAATAATCAAATTACATAAAATATGTAAATCGAAATGCAAGCCAACCTTATGAGTTCATCAAGAATTTTAGGAGTATTACAGAAAATCAAGGGTCCTACATATGACCATGTCAATCACCAATCACATTAAGATACTACAAGCAACCTTTTGTTATCTATTTCAATTGCTGAATAGAGGTTTAGCTATGCTTACTACTGTCCCTCTAAGAGAAACTCATACAATCTACAGAAAGAATGATCTACTAAAAATACTTTTAGCTTTTCTTAAATGTTGATAATTTCAATTTGGCACATGAAAATCATCTTTCCTTCTAGTATTATATACATACAAATCTGAATTTCTCATAGAGTATTAATTATATTTTTGAAAATAGCACAACACCTCAAAAATATGCAAGGAGGTAACAGTTAAGATCTTTAATTCTTTAAAAATAGGTCTGCATAATGTTCTGCTATTTACTCCTTTCATTAAACAAAGTATCTTTTTTATATTTTCAGTACTTTGCTATTTTTGCTTCCTCCACCCCATAAAAATCAAACCATAACTTACTAAGGATTGAAATTTGGCAAAGTAAATATTCCTGAGTATATAGACACTCACTTCAGCTTTCATGGATTTAATAATGTAACATACCTTATTCAGTTTTAGACACAAGGACTGAACATGTGAGCTCCATTTTAGATTATTTGTTACACTGATACCTAAAAATGTGAACTGTGATTTATAATTAATTTTTATATTTTTTAAGGTAATAACTGGCTCACACGTCATACAGTTTATTTAAGTTCCCTGGGCCATAGAGTGTACCGCAAATCCATCCATACAAACCTGTACCTTAACACTGCGTCCCACCACCAACCTTCCAACAAGCAAGCTGCACTTTCAACATTGGTGCACAGGGCTAGAGCACTGTGTGATCAAGACAGCCTACATGCGGAGTTGGTGCTCCTGAAGGATGTATTCAAGAAGAACGGATACAACAACCGGTAGATCTACAGAGTTCTCAACCGTCGGCCCAACATCAGCCAGCCTGAAGACAGACCGGGCTCAGTCGCCTTCCTTCCCTATGTCGGTACCATATTCAACCGTATCAGCAGAGTGCTGTCCCGACACAACATCAAAGCAGTGGGTCTGCCTCCATACAAATTATCCAATTTCCTCCGGCCGGTTAAAGACAGCCTGGGCCTAAGGACACCGGGTGTATACAGTATCCCATGCGAGTGCGGGAAGGTCTATATTGGGCAGACAGGCCGCTCCGTGGACATGAGGTTGAAGGAGCATCAGCGGCACATCCGTCTCGAACAACCGGACAAGTCGGCCGTAGCTGAACACAGCATCGATCTGGGACACCTCATTCAGCTCCAGAATACCTCCATCCTCGCCACCAAGACCCGCTATATGGATCGCATCGTTAGGGAGGCAATTGAGATTGAACTGCATCCAGGAAATATGAACAGAGAGGGGGGGTTCTGTCTCATCAAGTCTTGGAAACCTCTCATCTGTTCTCTTAAAAAACCCCCACCGAGATATGATGCCAGATCCAGAAGGCCACACAGGCCATGACCAACCAACATAACCCCCCCCTCAGCTTACAGATTAGTGTCCAGCCTTTAACCTTGCCTTTCTCTCCCCTACACAAAAACCCTGCTTGTCCCAGCTCCCTTCCCCTACCCCTCCCACACTACTGCTTTCACTTGTATAATTGCCCTTCCCCCCTACCCTCTCTGCTCTCACATAGCTGTGTATATTTCACCACAGTCTGCTTTTACCGGTTCTCATGGTCTCTTCGCTTGCACATTTCTTATATTTTTTCTTCTACCCTGAAGATGGAGGCGATACGTTCCTCCGAAACGTCGGTTAACACCACATATACACGGTGCCAAATCCCAGAAGACTGCTTTCTTCACTTACTATTTGTTTGCCATGATGTCCTTTTTAGCATCTGAGATAACTCCTTTATAAATTCTGCGATATCTGTTAATATAATTCAGTGCATCCTTTGACAGTGAAATCCTACACTTCAGATCATGTAAAAACCTCATTTTCTTACATGAAACTTTTATTCCCCTACATATCCAAGAATTATTCTTAATCTCTCTCTTCGTTGTTAGTTTCAATGGAAATGCACCACTAAAATAATACAAAAACTTATTTTTAAACAGTCGATATACAGTAAAACTTGGTTATAGCAACATCGGTTTCTGCGACATCTTGTCTACTGCGTCAAATATTCAATGGTACGAACTAATTCCTCATAAAGCAACTGTTTTTATACCTTGCTTAGTACGACATGCACAAATGCATCAACCTCGTATGTAACGTCATTTTCATTCCTGAATTTCTCTGATATGGACATTGAACGTAATTTAGAAAGTGTGTAATGGGCAAGTAACAGGAAACAGATGAAGATAACTGATTACTGTACTCGTATCTAGGTACAGTAAGGCACAACAATTGATGTAATCTACTGTAATTTGGTGAGTAGGCCTACCTTTAATATACAGTATTAGTGCGGTGTGTATTGTCAGTGAAAAGCGCTGTAATATGTCTTTGATATTACACATTTGGGCAATTCCACGTTAATGTTACGTTAGTCTGTACTTAACTACGTATTTCACTAAAAAATGCAACATTTTAACTCGGTTTTGGTAGATTTTTACGTGACTAACATAACGCTACTGTGGAAGTGCCCATTTCGGTTACAACGACATTCGTTTATAACGACACTATTTTTAGGTCCCTTCGATGACGTTATAACCAAGTTCTACTGTAGTTCATTTACATTCTTTTCCAAATGAATTTCCTCCCATAATTCATTATTTAGCATAACTGAAATTATCTATGTTCTCTTTAGAGAATTTTCTTTGCAGTATCTTTATTAACTTTATATTCTATATTCTATGTATGTACATAGATGTACGAGTATGTAAAATGCGGTTATGTAATTTGTAACATGTTGTAACAGTACATGCAAAATATCTTGAATTATTCATACATTACATCCCTGTCATTACGCTGGATAGTCCAGAGTTAATTGTATTTAGCTAATATTCTTTTTGAAGAAAGCAGTTTTCTGGGATTTGGTACCGTGTATATGTGGTGTTAGCCGACATTTCGGAGGAATGTATCGCAGACGTAAAAGCAGACTGCTTTTACCGGTTCTCACGGTCTCTTCGCTTGCAGATTTCTTACATTTTTTCTTCTACCCTGAAGATGGAGGCGATACGTTCCTCCGAAACGTCGGTTAACACCACATATACACGGTGCCAAATCCCAGAAAACTGCTTTCTTCATAGTCACCGCCGTGAAAGCCTCAAATCTTACACAATATTCTTTTTGTCTGTTTTATATTTTATTTTTAGTTTCAGCATGAATTTCCCCATATAATCTTCTCTTTCATACCATCACATCAACATTTCACATACTGTCTTCCTGCCCTCATTATAAATGTCTTTTATTTCCACCATGACTCTATGGTTGTATATCTGTTTAAAAATCTACAAGTTTACCTAACCACGTCATACATTAATTTATATTCCACTAAATATATTCTCCTTTACTTTCACCGAATCACTTTCTCCAAGTTATATATTTCTTAATCACAGCTTCAGTGATCCTGTTGTTGTGACAAAAAATTTCCATGTTCCTTTCTTACTTCCCACTCTTACTTTAACAATCTGTTGATCATCACTGTTACCTGTTACACTTACTAGGCAAGGCTAATCTTTCTCTTAATCTTGTCCATGGTAAAATTAATATGGTGAGATATACCTGGAAAAAAAAAGAGAAAAAAAAACATGAAGTAAGAAAATGGAGGAATCATATAGTTCACTACAAAATAACACAATCACTACCTTTATTTTCTTACCAAAGTGAATACAACAGAGCTGACAAACCAGAACAACATTCCTCCATGGCCAAAAAGATCATAATCTTTGGAATATACATGGAAGATTTCATCAGGTGAAACTATTTCCAGCACACCCTGAGTAATAGTAAAGGCCAAGGAAATTAAAGATGTTGCAAGCAGTACATAACGAATACTACTTCTACTGTCCAAGTGGCCTGCAAAACAAAACACATCACCAACAATAAGGACCATAAATCTGGAAGATGGAAAAATATAAAAATTCAGCACCAACAGGAATGAATCAAAATTAACTACATCACAGTCTTTGGTGAATAGTTAACAGTTATTATTCCACTGCTGAACTAATTCTATTTTCTTACAGAATAGGATCTGATGGCATTTTTTGTGAACATGTTCTGCAAAAGCAGAGAATCTTTGCTGAGGTGGATATAAACTTTTCAGAATCTTGCAACAAGAAAGAAGTGTCATGCCGGACTGCAGTATATTACTGCAATTACACTAGTTTGTAGAGGGTACTTTTGCCCAGCCCCTAATTTGGTGAAGTGTGTAATTCTGTAACACAATCTTAAGTTCAAGAAATACGGAGGAAGATACCTGGACAGTCACTCATTCATTCATTCATTCATTCATTCATTTATTCTCCACCTATTCTGAATTAAAGACACGTCATAATGATTAAAGCGAAGAAAACCATTCATAGCCTGCATTTTGGAGATACTACATAAATCATAATTTCTATTTTAATTTACTTCGCTGTTCAAACGACTGTATATAAGCAAAACAATGAGAAAACGATAACTGTTGTTATTTTCTGATACCTAGGTGCATTAAATATCAATAAGAAATTTCTTATGGCTAAAACATATTCATTATACAAGGTAAATTATTAATCGCTTTGAAAATATGGCAAAGTTCAAGTATTTGAGAATGAGAGTAACAAATCAGAATGACAATAAAAATAAAATTTAGTGCAGATTAAATGTGGGACATGCTTGTCATTGTTCATTTTAATAATTTTCTCTCCTTGTGTCCTATCTAAAATCTTAAGATCAAGAAAATACAAGACTACAGTTGTCTATTGATTTGAATAAGTCACTCTAAGGAAGAAAAAGTGCACACAAAATTTTGGTTGCAAAATCTGAATAGACAGCAACTGGAACACCTAGGCATAGCAGACAGGATATGGCATACCATCGTAAGACTGTCATGAATCGAGAATTGTTTTTGAAGAAAAAAAATTTCACACAGAACATCCACAGTATGAAACTCATCAATAATAAAGATTAATACTAATGGTTCAGTAGGAGGACAGTTCAGATAACTTGCATCTCTTAAAGTCATCCTGAACTTTATTTCTGTTAGTTACTGCTACTCCCAAATATTACAATTTTAAACATTTACATATAAGGCACAAGGCTTACCAAATGCCAATCCAAAAATGACTACGCTGAGTTCCATGGCAAGAAGAAAAAATCGTACAGTAATCCAGAGTCCTTTATCAACATAACCTCCAACTACAGCAGAAGCATTTACTGTCATAGAAACAATGCAACGAATCACGCTGATCACAACATTCACAACCACCTATAAGAAAAAAAAAAACATACAAACTGTGACCCCAAGACTGAATTAATTTCATCCATTATAAAAGTTTAATAAGGCTGAACTTCTTATTCTCAGGTGTTCAGAGCTGGAGTTTAATGTATGAACTTAACTTTCAGGAATAAGCCATATTGAAATCTGAAAGTTTTCTGATGTTTCAGCAAACAGTGCAGCTGCCACCTTCAGGATTAGTGTCTTTGGGGTGGTTTTTAAAGTCCCTGTACAGACCTGGCGTTAAGCAGCAAATGGGAGGGGAAGGCACAACTGGACATAACACAGTATTGGGCGCTATTCAATAGAGAGAGGTGATGAAAACAGTTTCCTTTTTTGTGAGCCTGTTTAAAACAGAAGATTATGGAGCCATTTTAGCTACCATGTGGTAATGACAGATGCTCTGTAATCACTATGAAAGATTGACAGCAACTGTTTTAGTGACCTTGTGGTTAGGAAAAGGGGCCGTGGTTTTTTTTAATAGAGAACTTTTTATTATGGCAACCAAGATTTTGGAAAGGAGGTGAAGAAAATTTCCTGGCCATGCTGACAGGAAACCTCATCAGTCTGGTATGGCTGAAGTTTGACTGTAGTGGCTGAGTGACATTTGGAAGAAAACACGCAAAGCCAGACTCTCCTTAGTCTGTATTAAGGTGTTCTGTTACTTTAATGACTTCCCTGATGATGTGGGGATGGTACATCTGAATGTTGGCTATAACCTGTGTTCGCTTGAAGTCAGTGTTGTGTATGAGCTGCATAAAGTGTTCAGTTACTGCTGAGTGCTGATTCTTCAGTATGATGTCTCCTACATGTTCAGATATTCTGATGGAGATGTGGAGATCAGACTATAATCCACAACTTATGTCTCAGTGACACATTTTAGTGTAGACCTACAATACAATATTTCACCAAAGTCCACTGTACAATTTCTGAGATTAAATGTGGCTGGATGGTTGGATTCAAAAGTTTTCCCAAGATGCTTCCACTTTATGCACTATATGCAAAGAACATTTAAAATATTATATTTAATTTAAAGCTGTTGTTCATTTTGCATCCTTTTGCAAATACAGTATATCATTTTATACTTAAAATGTGTATGCCAAATGTATTCTTTGTGATTCTGCATACCTCAATGGCCTAATTTGAGATACCAATCTATGGCTGCAAAATCACACACACCACTTACCATATTTTTTCTTCCATTAAACACACACAATTTTGAAAAATGTTTCAAATAAAGGTTGCTCTTAATGAGATCTGTATTTTATGTCATGCATCAATATTCTCTGCCAATAGCGATTTTTGAGAAAATTTGTAACATTCAAATTGATCTTAAAGTAATGATATGCCCAAAAAACATGAAGCAAATTTCACAGAAATACATTCAACAGCTTCACAGATGAAACAAGTACATATTCACTTTATGCAATTATGCAAAGAATTAAAAATTGCAAATTCTCAGACAAATGTAACTGCCATACTCACCACTCTCTTTAAAAAAGTAAAAGTATTAGGGTAAGTCAATAAGTAAGTCACAAATGGATCCAGAACTTAAACAAATAAGAGTACTGATTTGAAAAATGCTTTTATTTCTTAACATAATCTCCTTGTACATTGAGGCACTTGTCCCATCGTTTCACAAGCCCCTGAAAACCAGCAGCATAAAATTCTTTGGGCTGCTTTAGGAACCAGGCGTGTTCACATGGCATGGCCTACCTCATAATACATGACAGGTTAGGTTTTCACAAAGTCTGTGCATGATGGGTGCCGCGCATGCTGACCCCACAACACAAAATGCAAAGAATAGGTCTGGCATTATACCATCTCAATTGCTACCATGACGAAGGACACTGTATAATAGCCCGAATTGTCACAGGTGATGAGTCTTGGGTTCACCATTAGCAGCCCGAGACAAAGTGTGCGTCAATGCAGTGGAAACATCCTGCGTCGCCTGGCAAAAAAAGGTTAATGTGACAGCATCCTCCAGGAAAGTCATGCTCACAGTCTTCTGGGATCATGAAAGCATACTGCTCACTGCATTCCAGCCTCAAGGACAAATTGTAAATGCCGACTCCTACTGTAACGTCCTCAGGAAACTTCGTAAGGCCATTCAACGGAAGCATGCAACCCGTCATGCATTGTGAGGTAGGCCATGCCGTGTGAACATGCCTGGTTCTGACAGCAGCCCAAAGAATTTTATTCTGCTGGTTTCAGGGGCTTTTGAAATGATGGGACAAGTGCCTCAATGTACAGGGAGATTATGTTGAGAACTAAAAGCATTTTTCAAATCAGTATTCTTATTTGTTTAAGTTCTATATCCATTTGTAACTTACTTGTACTTATTGACTTACCTATGCACATTACAGTGTAGAGAGTGCAGCAATACATACACTGCACAAACATAACAATGAATCAATATCTTCTATGGTCTTACATCCCACAGGTTTTCTGCAGGGTTTATGAAGATAATGCAAAACAGGTATTTGTGAATGATGGAGCATGAAAAATGCTGAAGTCATCTTGGATTACTTCTAGTTCCCATCCTGGCATTAACATAGACTGGCTGAGTCTTAGGTTACTTTGTGGTGCCATTTCTATTACACAGTGTTAAATGATATGGGAGATGACCACTGATAAGTAAATAAGGATTTTGAACAAAGCAACCACAGCCTACTTCAAGCTATTACTTAAGCATCTGACAGGATAGACTGAAGAAAACAATTAATCAGCCAGAATAGACAGTAACCAGTATGAGATTCAAACTGCATATTTTCCAAATACAAGTCTAGAGTGCTATCACAACACAATCTTTCTTGATGTTTGCACAACGGTATCGGAGAAAACAGTCAAAATTTGAAAGAGGTAACAGAATTTTAAATTCCAGTGATAAAATCAAACTTTTCAGTAACCTCAATTACAACTAATCACATAATCAGATGCAATACTGCTAATAAAACTATAACCTTTATCATATTTGAATATGGAAATTTAATCCCCCATAGAAAGGTCTCTTGGATATATTTTAATTGGGTGTTATAATAACAATGTTATTACCAAAACAATTTATACATTCAGAACCATTCTTGCTATAATATTCCAGAATATATCTGACAGGATAAAGGACTTAACAATAGTTATAAAAATTAAGACTAAATAGTTAATATAATTAAAATATGTTGTGAATATCAAGAGCAATTGGTTAAAACCAGTTAAAATAAGTCTCAAAGTCTTGTTGAGTGGACAGAAGGTAATAACAGCCTTCGTTTCTCAAGTTGGTCACTCTGAATATTTTATCAACTATATATATTATTGTGGGCCACATGTCTGCATAATGTTACTGTGCGTAATCCAGTGAAGTATATGGCACTCCCCCTACAAGCTCAATATATATTGTCGATTTCCTTGTTTGTTATAGTAAACAAGGAATTATTCACATTCAACTCACAAATGCATAATTGTAGTACCAGATCTATCTGTGATCTGCATTATCCGCAAACTAGTCTGACACAATTCCAAAAAGGAATATGTTACATGGGGGTAAAGATCTTTAATCATTTGCCACCAAAAATCAAATCTATGTCTAATGACTTGAAAATTTTTAAAATTCAGTTGACAACATTTTTATTGCAAAACTCTTTTTATACATGTGATGAATTCTTTAGTAACAAATTTGCCTAGAAATAAGGATAATAACATAAACAATTTTAATATTGCATAATTTTATGTATAGTGATGTAAGACTGTAAATTTAACACATGTTTTTTTTATCTGTTATAATGATTATAAGCTGTACATATATATTTATAACTGTATTGTACTATACTAACTATATTAACTCTGTGACTGGTTCTATATCTACGTATATGGATTTATGGAATATACAATAAATGAATGAATGAATGAATGAATGAATGAATATGGGATGTGTCATGCAGTCCACCATGGCACATCACATCGTCTATACCAGAAATTATTACAAAGGCTGTCTTCCATCAACTCAACATTCTATTAACAACTTCAATCCTACAAGGCTCAAACGCTATCATGTACTCACTGGAATGCACTCAACACCAATATATGGATGAACACACAACCTACATTACAAAACTAAAAAAAATCTATGCAGCTCACACTAGAAATCCATATTATGGCCGTCATTACAGTCTTCTTCCATCAACTCAACATCACCTTTCAATTTATTTTCATGTGTTTTAACTATTTATTTTTAATACGCACACCTATCACAATTCCCTTTAATGACTTAACAACATGATACATTCAATAACAACATATGTAAAGTTGTTCCTTTCTAATGTTGGGCTGCCTCTTCATGATGGCCACTAGTGCCCGAAACATGTAAGGCAAAAAGATTTTACTTATCTTATTATTAAACAGTTACACTTGATGGATTTCTGCTTGTTCATATATTTATTTTTACATTACATTGCATTGCAATCCATGGATCCAAAGTTAGTCAAAATGACTGTAGGATATGGAACATGTCAAGTAATATAAAACACATGTACAGTCCCAATAGAGTTCTCACACAAGAGAAACCAAGAATACACAGTGACTACACACAAGGCTATTTAATGATACATAAGTTATTTTCTAGACAATAGGTATTCATCAACAGAGTAGAATGAATGTGTATTTAAGTATCGTTTCAGTGCTATTTTAAATCGTGCCCTTTCATTCATAAGACCTTTGAGATCAGATGGCAGGTTATTAAAAATGTTGATCCTAGCATAATATGTGCTTTTCTGAAAGCATGAGAGGTTAGCAATTTCTTTATGAAGACAGTGTTTGTGTCTTGTGTTAACACTGTGTACACCCGCAATTAGTATGGAAATGTTCTTCGTTATTTGTAATGAAGTTTATTAATTAATATATATTCACAATATCATACAGATATTATCCCATTATTCATTAGAGGCTGAGAAAAATACAAAACCTTGAGATGTATAGCACAGCAGATTGGGGTCTCAATCAGCACTGCATAGAAAATATATCCTTACAGCTTGTCATTTCACTACAAAATGAAGCCAAGTCAGTCACTGTCAAGAGATGGAACCCTCAAATCCTACACTTTCACGAGGCAGTACAAAGCACAAGTGGAGAACAATCTGGATGTCTTGAATGTCACATGATTCTCTAATGAAACACACTTCCACATGAACTGTCACATTAACAAGCAAAATATCCAATTTTCATAACAAATGCTTTATGATCTATCACATATAACACCATGTTGTTACTCAGTTCAGCACAGCCAATGACAACAAAGAAATTTCCAATATTTGTAGAAGGATTTGTGAAAATTTCGTACAACTGCGTTCAGCAGCAAAGAAGTTATACAAGTTTTAGAGTCAGATGACAGATGATACCCTGTATATAAAGTGTAAGAAGTCAAACAATGTCTAAGCTTTATGTTAGCAAAAAATGAATAGCAGTTTTCAGTACAGCTTCAGATCTATTCGCTGAACACTCACCAGTCCATAGAATGTGAAGAAAATGGGGCTACTAGTGGCACGTAGTTTTAATCGTGCTCTGTTGAATCTCAATGCAAGAAACAGGAGAAACAAGAGGTTTGGAACCAGAATGATTACATCCCAAATCCGAACTCTGAAAGCATAAAAAAAACAGGTGCGTTTACTACGTGACTTTCAGTTGTTAGTAACATTAATTAAATGTGGGCACATGCATACTTGATGCTCTTACATACTCATTAATATGATAACAAACTATGTTATAGGATTCAGCACCACCAATATAAAAGCCTTCCAGTTGTAATTACATGTGCAGTGGATCATCCATTGCTACGTGATGAGGTAATTACTGGTACATATCCAGTGTGCTGAAATTGGTATTCAAATCAGACAAGAGCGTAGCTATTACCCAGAGAGGCAAGGAAATTTAAGTAGTCAGCATAAGTGACTATGTAATAGGAGATTCATGTTGTTTCAATGGAGAACTGATGAAGCTTTGAAGAAACTGGAGATATGCTTCTGCTGGATTATGTTGCATGACACAGTGCATGCTCAGCCAGCCAGCCACCCAGGGGAGATCAATGTGGTGCCAGACCTGCACAGCCATGTGTTGAGTTCTAACAATAACTTCATTCTGGTTGCTCTTACATTGGTCTCAGGTAAATGAGCTATACTCTGTCTGGGTCCTGAGGTACATCCATTTAGGGTGGATGGAAGGTTTAACTGTACAAACATCTTCAGTAATGAATTCTAAAACACTCAGTGGAATAACTGAGGGTGGGTGGGGGGGGNAGGCTTATTTATGATGCAAAGGTTTAGCAGACAGTCTTAACATAAGAACATGCAGAGTGAAGGATAGAAATGTGCTTTACTATGGTATTCTAAATTATGTTCATTGTCATTGTTACAATGACAGTGACAAAAACAACAAAAACTTGCGATTATGGATGTTTCTTTACTCTAATCCTGGATGAAGACTAGGGAGTGAACCTTTCACTACCATACATAACAAGTGGCAAAATCACCTTTTTTATGTGTTCCTGAAGGCTGAAAGGATGGTAACTTTCCACCTTGAATTTCTTTTCTATTTGAATGTATTACATCAGAAAAGGGGTCAATCCCGAAAAAATCAAACTACTGACAATAATTTTTACATTTAGTTTCAAATTTTCCCATTGTTTTGTGCCAAAAGAGGGCCAATTTGCATACATCAACATCAGAATAGTATGCTATATATGAGTATATCTGTATACTTCAGAAAGGTGATGTCACAGACAGACCCTTTTCTGGAATGCAGCTAGTACCAATGGAGAGCACATCAGTCGACATCTGAATGTGGTTTCTTGATACAATGAATGTATTAATGTATATTCAGAATCCACAATCTATGCTGGTGAGGAAAAAAGCATAAAATGTAAGTGAAGTCTTACCTAGAAATGTTTAAATGTTAACAAAATAGAGTTCAATCAGTTTCAAATCTATATATTCTGTAAGGCAGTGGTATGACATTCTCAAATATGCCAAAGGAATGTCATGACACACACCAAAAATAAAAACAAAGGCTCATAAAGCTCACAGGGGTCAACAAGTAAGATCATGTACTACTGGCCTAGTGAGATGGTATTTACAATGATTAGGAAATTTAGTTAGCAGACTGTGCAGGCCCAGACCAGCTGCAATGTTTTATGGTATTACTGAGACCAAATTTACTTTCAAGTGCAAAATGCATTTCATTGTGAAAGTTATGCATGACTGCACTATCATAATGCTAGAGAAATTTAAATATTTTGTGACAAAAATGAACAGAACATACACTTGCAGTGAGTGACATAAGTGTAATCAATGCAAAGTTGTCATGAAAAGAACTGCAGCTGCTTAACTTCTGGTTCACAAACAAAGAGCTAGAAAGATTCATATTACCATGGAAAAGTTAACTCATGACTGCAAAGCATGTGAAATTATCTTAGTCCTTTCATTTGGTTTCACACAGAATTTACCTTTGCCTAACATTCCTGTGCAAAGAGATTCTTTTTTCTCTCAGACAGCTCTGAGTGAATAACAATGAAATACATGACATGAAAACAAATGAGGGTACTTTCTGCAGTTACCATGTTGAAGCAGCAAGAAATGATCTTAATGAAGTACACTAAGTTTTGAAAGATTACATAAAGAACATTGTTTCTGACAGTTTTAGAGAATTACACCCGTTTTCAGATAACTGTGGAGACCAGAATAGGAACCAGACTGTTGTAAGTTTTTTTTTATCTTTACCAGATTCTAGACACTTTGACAAAATTATAAATTACTACCTTGTACACAGATATTCTTAGCTACAAAGACAGATTCTACAGTCATGAAATGCCACTTAAGAAACCGATCATGTTATGATCCAGAGAAATATGCTAAGTTAATCCAGCAATCAAGTTCCCTGGAGAATTTTAATGTAAAGATGCCCATCAGTGATGACACATTATATTTTAAACCTTGGTCAACTGCATTTTACAAGAAAATATACATATCAGTAGAAACCTCAGGTAATTCATCACCTAGGTCACAAAAGATATCCTTCACAACACAGCAGTTTTTGTGCTCTGAATATTCAAACATGAAGCCAGGAATAATTACTGCAAAATCTATCACAGGTTCTTTGTTCAGTCATCAATCCTGCCTCAAGACTCCAAGCCACATCAGAGAAATTCTTAAGCAAGCAACCAAGAAAGCACACAGAAAAAAATTCCTATTAACAATCACGACACCAGCAACAGCAACAACAACAAAAATATTGTCACGCGTCGGGTGTATAATGCGACAAATAACTTCACGCCGTCTTGGATATAGCGAATTTATTGAATACTCGCTCTCACACTTATACAATTCACAATTACACCACTACTGCCATCTGCACTATCACACTACTTCTCCTGTAGTCACTGCCATGCACTCGACACAACCCAACTCGGCAACTGCTACAATTTAACTGATTGGTTAATCGTTACTCACTAGTAACTCTAGTAGCTTCCGCACTGAAAACACAGAAAACAGCTATGCAATAGCTACCACTGTTGTGTAATGTCGTGTTTACAGGCGTGCCTGGGCAACGCTGTCGAGAGTTGTTTACTGCTGTGTAGTAACCGCGGTATCCCTTGTTACGTCACTGTGGGAAGTGATGTTATATGTCACCACGGCAATGGTTGCCTGGCACAGTTGCTCTTCTGTTACGTAACTGTGGGAGGCGATGGAGTGTTTACTGAGCATTGCGTGATAATGGAAGGGGTGGGGGTATGGGACGTCACTCGCAAGACCACAGAGTTCACGTGACCCCTACTTCCTGTTGCGCCATCCATATCACACTGCTCCTTTCTAAAGGTTGTTCATCCCAAACAGCCTAACGGTACATCCCCATTCCTTTTTCTTCCTGTTGTCCATTCTTTAACTACTACATTTGCTCCTTCTGTAAGACCAGCTCATCTCTAGCGGTTTCCTGCTAACGTGCCAGAAGATCCATTTGTATCACATTCACTCCTCACTTTCATCCAGTGCACATTCACTCTCTCTGGGGAGGCCGGTGCTTCTAATTTACCAGCTCCTCTTCTGTGCTCTGCTTCTTTTTCGTTTTGGAGGGGGTCAACCCCTCCACAAGGTCCAGTTTTTGATGTTCTGTAATCCACTGGAAATCTCTACTGCTTGTTGCCTGATATCCAGCCCTAGGGTCTTCCTAAGGGTTCAGCTCACTGTTCTCTCATTCCCAGGATGCAGCTGCCGTCTTGTGTGTTCATTCTTCACTCCAATGCTGCCCTCCATTCCACCTGACGTCTCCGCCCTTTGAGGGCTTCTCTTGCAATGCTGTTCCTAATCTGGTTGTTCCCGATGATGTGTCCCTTGCACCGTGCCACTCCTGCACAGCAGTTCATCCTTCCAGGATCAGCATCACATTTCTTTTGGCACCCAACCTGATTTTGGGTCCGTTCTTCCTTGAAGGCATCTCTCCTATGTCGTGCCACTGTTGCGCAATGGGATACCTCCCTGCGGGTGGCAGCCAACTTCCTCCAGGGTCCACAAACTCCTTGGGTCAGTTCCTTCGGCTCCCCACATCGCTCTGCAGCTTGCTTCTTGCCCCTAAACCGCCTCTTCCGTCCTTTGACCAGTTGCACAATGGCATCTTCCTTGGGGACTTCTTTTTGTGCCACCTTAGGTTTCGTTTCCACCGAGGTCGGCTCTTGCTCTTATAGATGCACGTCCATCGTTTCTCAGCAGGCATCTAATTTTGCTTTTTCTTGGGTGACATCTAATTTTGCCATCAAATCTTCTTTGTCTGTCTCCATCTTCTTTTGCATGGCACCATCTTCCTCAGCAGAAGTTCCAACATCTTCTGTGACTCCATGTCTTATTCGCATGGTTTTCGCGTGTGTAAGTTCGTAACCAATTCTGACACCAATTTGTCATGTGTGGGGTGTATAACGTGACAACTAACTTCACACCGTCTTGGATATAGTGAATTTATTGAACACTTGCTCTCACACTTATACAATTCACAATTACACCACTACTGCCATTTGCACTATCACACTACTTCTCCTGTAGTCACTGCCATGCACTCGATACAACCAAACTCGGCGATTGCTACAATTCAACTGACTGGTTAATCGTTACTCACTAGTAACTCTAGTAGCTTCCGCACTGACAACACAGAAAACAGTTACGCGATAGCTACCACTGTTGCATAACATCGTGTTTACAGGCATGCCTGGGCAACACGGTCGAGAGCAGTTTACTGCTGTGTAGTAACTGCGGTGTCCCTTGTTACATTACTGTGGGAAGTGATGTTACGTCACCGCGGCAATGGTTGCCTGACACAGTTGCTCTTCTGTTACGTCACCGCAGGAGGCAGCAGAGTGTTTACCAAGCACTGTGTGATAATGGAAGGGGTGGGGGTATGTGATGTCACTCGCGAGACTGCAGAGTTCACATGACCCCTACTTCCCGTTGCATCATCCACGTCACAATATCTTGATAAAGCATCCCAGTATGACCTTAGCAGGTTCTGGACCTTTTACAGTGAGCGTAAACAGTGGCCAACTGCTGAAAATGATACTGACAGAGTAAGTTTGTGATACTGCAGCGTGAACCTAACTTCAAATTTTGAAGTAACGATTAAGTACAAATTCTAAATGTTTGTTCATAATCCATTTGTACCTATCATTTATATAAATACCACTATTGAATGTTTTTTGTCCTGTCCAAGATACTTAACCGTTCAGGCTGGTTTGACGTGTATGTTTCGTCAGGTATTTAAATCGTCTGCGGGGGTTCGACGTCTATGTTTCGTCCAGCTGCACACCTATATTATAACGCCCATAATAATTGATGGTTTTGCTGTAGATTGTTAGATTTTTCGCTGGCCTGTTGTCAGGAGAACCGTATATAATGAGGCACGAGTTTAGCTGCGCTGTCATCGTTACATATGCCTGTCTTGCAGCAAAATTCCTGTTGCTCTTGGAAGAAGTTTCCTCATTCAAACTGTTATGAATGGCGTGTTTTCTTTCCTATGAAGTTATAAACAGCAGACACGTCATATGTGCTGTGTTTATAATATCATATTGCCCTGAGCTGGCCACACTAACACACTCAATTGGAATTCTTAGAAGAGGGATGTCCAAAAATTTATTCTTGCAAGATCGATTGATTTCGCACAGTACATAGCAGCCAATTCTTAGAATAACGTCACGAATTAAGGCAGAACACTGTGGTCACCCCCTGTGACGATACGGGAGTGTGTGGGGGGGAAAAGAACTCATTCCTTCATGTATTATCACTCCAGTTGACTCCATTTTATCGTACTGACCTTGGTGGTCGTTTCGAGGGATGACCATAAATATTTTTTTTGAGCCAGCTAAGCTCTGCTTTCATGCACTACCTACCACCCAGTTCTTAGAACAACTTCATGAATTCTGTGGTCACCCCTACGACTTCTTAGAATATGAAACGCAGAAGCACCAACCCCTTGTTATGATAACATAAAGGTTGAATTTACTGCAGCTAATCTGGCAAGCAGTACAACTCCCAGAGAGACATTTCCTCTTGTATTCCCCCCACGGGGAAGAAAGCAAGGCCGCACAGAAGATGTGTGGTTAAAAAAAAAAGGGCCAAAGAAAAGATACACAATATTGGTGTGGTGAATGCTTCAAGGCGTCACCTGCTGCCATTGCCGAGATACCGGGCGCTCATATTATAAGGCAAGGTTATAAAATCATCTTTTAAGATCATTTTAGTGAAAGTTTCATGCTTCAAGGCCTACCCTACACTGCTCAAATTCTAAACCAACTGCTTCCATTGCCAAGTTATCGGGCACTCATATTATAAGGTAAGGTTATAAAACCACCTTTTAAGATAATTTTAGTGAAAGTTTCATGTTTCTATCTCATATAATTTAAGAACAATGTAGAATAAATCATTTTCGAGCAAAATTTAAATGGACGGCTGAATATATTACCGCCGGAGAGACACGGCAGTGGAATTTAAATGACCGCGCGAAAGGGTTAATTCATTTATTGCTGTTTCCAGATAATTACATTTTGGAACATCCTCAGATTATTAATTACATATGGTCAAGGCATTCTCCAACCAGTGCATACAAGCATGCACAGCAGCAAAAAAATGCTGCTTAACAGCAAATGTATCAATGATTAAATATCACACATCTGCCGATGGACTGTATATTTCAACCTTGAGAATACCAGCAAACATGTTATCAGGGGGAAAAGAAGAAGAAAATAAAAACAGTGCATGAAGTAATATTACAACTTTGTTGATTTTAGCTTAATGTCATGTTTGCATATTTAGATTTATCCATATTTATTTATTCAAGATTACCTGGAATTACTAATTTCAATATATAAAATTAGCTTGCAGAAGTGGTCCTCTTCTAAGGGTACTGATGACTCCGTAATATTTGGATGCAAACTTGTAACAGATGTTGATGAAGCACCTTCTGCCATACCGTATTCACCAGCCACCAACATGAGTTATGAAACTAAGCCAGTCTGTGAAGACACTGAATACAAGCACATAGAGCCACTACTCCTCTACCATTACATGCGGACTGACAACTGAAAAAATACAGTCTCAATATACAATACCAGGGCAGTAAAACTGCATGTAAATAAATACTTCCTTTTCAATTTTGATTTATAATGTTATAAGAAAAAATGTAGATATTATATAGCAAAACATTATTGGCTATTTATTACCTTAGCAACATTGTCATTTGTTTAAATGAGCACAATACAACCCACAATTTAGACCTGGGCACTGTTCACAAGGAATTAATTACTTAAAAACACTCCCATTTTACATAACACATTCAAGATTACTTCAAATAATATATATTTTGTAATCCGAGTGAAAAAACGGACGTCATGTTGATACATTCCCATAATGGGTCATTTGGCAACAGCTGTTCATTAACTACATGCTTCGTTTATTATTTTCGATTCCCGGGTAACCCACAGGATTGCCACAGTTTATGCTGATATTATTTTGACTTCAACACACAACAGATCAAAGGTCAATGATATGAATGAATATCACAACGCATTAAAACTGGGTCAACTAAATATAAATGTAAACTAGATTCATTTTATTCACCCTTGTGCACAACCATTCCAAGACTAAATTTCGTGTCTGTGTCAATGTTAATGTTGTAAGTAAATAAAATATTATACGTTTTTCATATGCAGTACCTACTTCAACATCTCCGTAACTCACATACACATCAAACACGATGCACAAATGTTAAATTTCATCACGCCCTCCATATCCATTTCCTACCAAACATATTTCTCGATAAGTCTGACGTTAACACATTACTACCTTTCTTACACCTTGTCCTGTTAGGCGGTTACAATACGTATTACACAGATCTTTCAACCGTATCAGACTACGAAAGTAGAGCACATGAAAACATACATAATCGCGCTGAAATTCTAGTGTTGAGGTTCAAAGGAAATCACAAAGTACTTAAAATAACAGAATCTTAAATATACACACTGGCTGTCTCATGTATGTAAAATACTATGCTAGCAAACACAAATATGAGAACCTAATTCGTCTACATATTATTCGATCACATTACAATGAACACATTAGACCGTGTAGAGGGTGTAGAGCGTGTTGAGCTGCATCTGAGGCAGTTCATCTGTGACGATCTGTGACAGCAAAGGCTGTTGGGAAAGCTGTCGTCGGCGGTTATATTTTTACTCTGTGGATATATTTGATAGCGGCATTGCTGGTCAAATGCGGTTACGTGTCCCGTTTAATTCATGCTGTATTGAAAGTTGAGTATGGAAGACTAATTATTGATAATTCATGGTAGTTTTATTTTTAACGTGAATTGAGACTGTTGCTGTATGCATCGTGCCGATTCCTTTTATTTGAGTGTTGTGTTATTCCCATATACATTTTATTAGACGAGCAAATGTTCGCATGCTTATGGAATATGGTAATGAAAAATGATTTGAAGTACTGAGGGTGTCAGTTATTAATGGCCGTAGTGTCAGAAAAAGAGACCCGACTGTTGAAAGGCCTTACATCTATTGTATGCAATAAGTACATATACCAAATACAATGAGTGAAAAAAGTGTTCGGAAAATGATAACCCGATTTCATCCCGATCATGGAGGAAACATAATTCTATATGATGATAATACAGTAGCTTATCGCAAAGCAAGTTTTGCAAATGCCCTTACGTTTAGTGAGAAGCCTTTACTTCCAGGAGAAATTTTTCTGTTGGAAATTGAGAAGAATGAAAGAGGTTGGAGTGGACATATGCGTTTGGGTTTGACGCAGTTGGATCCTGAAGCAGCTGCTGCAGGTGTGGGTGGTTTACCTGAGTATGCGTTACCAGATCTTGCTAACATGGGAACATCATGGATCTTTGCTATCACAAAGTCTCATAATAATGTTTATGAATATGGAAGTGTAACAGAAAGCTCAAGGCCTGAAGAGGCAGATCATAGGGTCTTGGGTGATGGGCATAATGTGCGTACTTCACGGGGTTCCATACCCCGTAGTCTTCTACGTCCTTCACCATCTAGCCCTGCTGAAGATATTCTTCCAACAGATGTTGGTAGTCGAATAGGTGTGGTTTATGTTCCAAGCTCTAATTATGGTAAAGGAGACTATGCTGAAATGCACTTCATTATTAATGGTGAAGATCAAGGGCCCTGTACAAAGGATATCCCTTATAAGGAAGGTCCTTTACATGCAGTTATTGATGTTTATGGAACAACAAAGCAAGTGAGAATAGTTCAGCTTTATGAAGGTAATTAACCAGATGTATTTGATTAGAAGATGATAATTGTTATAAATCATGAAATTAGTTAGATTGCTATGATATTAAATATAAATTTTAAAGTGATAAGTGAGATTGCATAAAATTAGATTATGTTACAGTTAAATTTGATTTGTTTTAACGTAGTAAAAACTTACATGTCACATTAGATGGAGTGGTTTGTATTTATTACATTTAAAGTTTTCAATATGTGACTGCTGGTTTACAGTTATTCCATAAAACAATATTTGTATTATGAACCAATTTGACAGTAGTATTTTATATTATTTTATTCTTAATTCCAGTGCCAACATTGCAGAGTGCTTGTCGTGATGCTATCCTTCAGCACATCACAAAGACAGCTGTTTCATCTCTTCCTCTACCTAAGATGCTCAAAGAATATCTTTTGTACCAGTCTTGAATTGTTGATTTTTTTTTTTGCATTCTGTTGAGTGGTACTGAGTTGTGTACATAGGTGAATTCTGTTCTTTCGTTTTAATTTACATTTTGGAAACAGCATATGTGAGTGAAACTAGTCACTGGAGATTTACATTCATGATAGGCCTAACTGCCAAGTAAATGGAAGGAAATGTGTATGCTAGAGTGGTGCAATGTGAGACAGTAGATTGTGGTTAGAGAGCTGATGTTATTAATTACTTTATTCCTAAGTTGAATAAAATCAGTAACAGAGCTTAATAATTTTTTGAGGTGACATGCACATGGCTTCAAATGCTCAGCAAGATTGAATTTGGAAGCACAGAATGTGACCTGTTAAATTGTATCTACATTTTTGTTTAGTGTCCATTAAATAAATATTTATTATCACTCACTCATAGAGCTGAACCCTTCTTGAGAAGTTGACAATTGTGCAGCTACTCAAGAACTTCCCAACATTTTATGGAACCTGAAGGTTCATTACCATGCTCACAAGAGCCTCCACTGACCCCCTTCCTGAGCCAGATCAGTCCATTCCATACCATCCCATCCTGTCTCTCTAAGATCCAGTTTAATATTGTTCACCCACCTATGCCTTGGTCTCCCCAGTGGTCTCTTTCCATCTGGATTTCCCACCAATATCCTATATGCATTCCTCTTCTCTCCCCTTCATACTACATGCCCTGCCCATCTCATCCTCCATGACTTGATCATTCTAATTATACTTGGAGGAGAGTACAAGTTATGAAGCTCCTCATTATTCAGTTTTCTCAAACCTCCTGTCACTTCATCTCTCTTTGGTCCAAATATTTTCCTCAACACCCTCAGTCCATGTTCCTCCCTTAATGTCAGAAACCAAGTTTCACAACCATACGGAACCACAGGCAAAATTATAATTTTGTATATTTTAATTTTTATGTTTTTAGACAGCAGACGAGGAGACCAAAGGTTCTGGACTGAATGGTAACAAGCATTACTTGAGTTTAATCTCAATTTTCCCCCTAATCAAACTTTTATTTGTTACTGTTGTTCCAAAATATTTGAAATGTGCCACATTTTCAAAGGCTCTGTTAGCTGTCCTTGTCTTGATATTGCCCTGCAGTCTGGTGTTGAGAGCAACATAATAGCTCAAACGGTTAGTCGCTGGCTTCCAACCATGGTGACACGAGTAGTTACTATAGGATTCTGACGATGGTGTATAACACACTGATATATTGGGTTTCTGGACTTTATCCATCGTCCTGGTTTTTAAGATAACAAATAAAAACACGACGTTTCGGAAACTGGATCTGTTTCCGTCCTCAGGTGAAGGAAAAGGGAAACACCTATTCTGTTGGGTCCGTTAGAAAGAGCTAGCCTCAATCACTGGACCAGAAACCCAATATATCAGCATGGTGACACGAGTTCGATCCCAGGTCTGGTCAGGTGGGATTTGTGGTGGACAAAAGTGGCACTGGGGCAGGTTTTCTCAGAGTACTTCGGTTTCCACTGCCAATCTTCATTCCACCAATTGCTCCACAATCACCCTCACCTATCATCCGAGGCTGGTACAATAAGCCAGAAGTGGCCACAGTACAAGGGACTTAAGTCCCACCCCACTAGTAATAAAAAAAATAGTTTTCTTTGTGTTTACTTCTAGACCAACCTCCTTACTTGTGTCAATTAAAGTTTGTGTGTTTTTCTTTATGGTATTTATATTATCACCCTGTAGATTCACATCATCGGCATAGACCAACAGCTGATGTGTCCTGTTTAATTTCAGTCCCACCTGGTTTTCCTGGACCTTCGTAATGGCATATTCTAATGCAAAATTGAAAAGGAGTGGCAATAAAGCATCTCCTTGTTTTAGATCATTCTGGATAGGGAAACCATCAGACAAATGATTACCTATATGGACTTCAGCATACGTTTCATTTAAGCACATTTAAGTCAGCCTGACTAGTTTCATGGGTACCCCAAACTCTTATCAGGATATTGCACAATACTTCCCTCCTAATTGAAATAAAAATATTATGTCTTTCAGACCGGCTCTGGGACTCACCCAACCCCATATCCAATGTGTACTATGGGCTCTTTCCCTGGTGTAAAATGGCCAGGGTGTGAAGCTGACCACTCCAGTTAGTGTTAGGTCAGGAATGTGTGGATCTATGCATCTACTCCCTCATATGTCTTCATGGCATAGTGCTTAGTTAATCACAGGGACAACTTTACCTTACTTTATTTAAATAAAAATATTACCTACACTGAAACTGTCAGTGACATATCAGATATAGTCTGAGTTTTGTTCTACTAAACACCTGGAAATATTTGTTGCCTGCAATATAATGTCTTGTAAGATGTCCAGCTTGAAGTAACTGAGAACCACATTTCTTCATTATAATTTCTGTAATCTAGTTTTGTTTCCAGAGCCTAGAGCTTTAGTGATATTCCTGTTGGTGACCACTGATTTATGTCGCCAGTCTTCACTACTATACCTTTACATTAAAAACAGAATAGTTAAATTGTATATTTACATCAAAATTAACCCACTGGCTTTGCCTTACAGAACTAATCTTCTCAGTATGTAATTTTGTCATTCCTCGGAGATGGTCCTTTTATTCTGAGTTTGGCCATATCTTAGATTACCCCCATAACACACTTCTGCAGTACTAGTATGCAAGGTGGCACTTCATGGAAGTGGAATATTCTTTTCATAAGGTGTTGATTTTTCCACAAGTAATTCTAGTCCCAATATATTTTCCCATACCCCAGAACCTCTATTGAAGTGGTTTACAAAGTATGCCAGCACCATGAGTACTTAAAATAATGCTATGTTCACAGTGTCAGTGTTTAAAATGAGGCAGTTACAATATACTGCAGTGGCATCAAAGTCTGTAATTAGTCTCTTCTCATCACGGTTTAAGTTATCACTTTCCTTTGTTGGTCTATACGACATAGTTGAAAGATGCTGGATATAAATATTATTGTAAAGATGGTACCAAATCTTAGATACATGTATATAGAAATATGTTAAAATGATCTGTGTGAACCAGTATGGAAACAGATTCTGGCTAATATATATACTGGGATTCTGTTACAATTACATCTGTCTGAATGAATCTTGAAGAGTTGTGTATGCAGTTTCTTACTGACTTCAGCACTTACGTTTTCTGTTACAAAAGCACAAATATATACTCAGTGTTCAAGTACATATGTTAAGTGGATCAACGATAATTCAAGATTACATCTGAACATTCCTCTACCTTCATCACAAATTATACTGTAAATGGTTATTTTTACTATACTTCCCATATTTTTGTATATGATAAATATGGGCTGCGCCATAGCTCAAGCGGTTAGTCGCTGACTTCCCACTGCGGTGGCCCGGGTTCGATCCCGGGTCTGGTCAAGTGGGATTTGTGGTGGACAAAGTGGCGCTGGGGCAGGTTTTCTCCGAGTACTTCTGTTTCCCCTGCCAATATTCATTCCGCCAATTGCTCCACTATCACCTGGGGCTGGTACAATAGGCCAGAAGTGGCCGCATTACAAGGGACTTAGTCCCACCCCACTAGCAATAAAAAAAATATGATAAATATTAGAAATAAGCATGCATAATTTTCAGTGCTAAAGCACCTTTAGACTTGTTCCATTAAAAATGTGATGACAAAACACTGGTTTTTTCTAGCAACTTTAATCTGAAGGGAATTTAGAGTAGTACAAATTATGCACATAAACAGATCACTAAATATATAGTTACTAATTAAAGTTCTGCTGCTTCACCACACTGATTTAAGCATGTTCCAGTGCCCTACATTTAACGATGCTAGGATCACCTAGACTTCTGAAGTTAGCATTACCACCATGTAATTTTCATTGGTGGCCTGATGTTCTATAATCTTAGTGCTGACAGCACTGTTAAATAACTTGTAAGAAAACGTTACTAGTTGTAGTATATTAAAAAATGTGAAGGTGGGACAACCTCCAACAGCAGGACATTTGTACAGAGTTTTATGAAAATCTCAGTTCAGATGTTACTGGGAGAGAATTACACGTGATGACAACTCCAGGCTGAACTTAGATAAGTGACTTACTGCAGTAAGTACACAAAGGGATTTTTTCTCTCTTAATGTGACTCCATGTTTCAACAGAAACTGCAAGTCTCATGATGAGAGATTAATGTGTGTATGTGTGTACATACATATATATGGGGTGTTAGAAAAGAGGGTTACGGTTTTTAAGGGCGTGTAGTACTCCCTCAAATGAGAAAACAAGTCCCAGTCAACATATGTCTAGAAGTCAGTTCCTGGTAATATATGGGAGTGAGTCTCTGGTTGGCATCTTAGGTCATCAGCTCTTAGGACCATTTGTCTTCCATAACAGACTAACAGGTGTAGTGTATCATCTGATGTAACATATGCTAAAAAACGAAATGACTTCCTGAATGTCAGAATGGTTGAGCCATCTACATACCATTATAATGTACAGCATCTGTCCTGCCCGTTATCAATTGTATCTCTGCTAATAAAACTGATAATGTATTCATGTAAGTACAAACGTTGTAGTTAGTAATTCTTCTGCTACATGCATGAGTTCAAGTACAAGTTAGCCTTTCACCATTCTTTCTCCTATAAGAAAAGCACTGGTATCATGATTAACCCTCATATTTTTAAAATAGCCATGGCAATGAAAAATATTCCAGAGGCCACAAAAATGATGCACGTGATTTGCAGAAGTTGGAGGAGTTAAATGCAAGTAAGAGCCATGAATAACAAAAATTACTCAAATTTCGGGTCACATTTTTCTCCATGGATATGCTAGTGTAGCACAAAGCAAGCTGAAACATGTGAATAAACTGAAGGTTCTGTTAAACCACAAGAATTATTTCGATATTAATCCCTGCTCTTGAAGAAATCAATAAATAGAAAAATGTACAGTTTGGGGTTCTCACAGCAGTGGTTATGAAGTTAGAACTCTTCAAACAATGAACGAAACCATATTTTTGGGGCTAAAAGTAGTTCTGAATGTTCAAGATTGTGATATCAACCAGACAAGCCATACCATTTTGATATCTTTCTTGCCAGTACACCTTCTCATATACATACAAATGAAACACCTTGGTTACCAGGTAATTTTTACCATAAGGGAAAGCTATACTGGGCGTGATCTACTGAAGTCTAGCAACAAATTTAAGAAACAATATCGAGGAACATTTGACTACAAATATGAGCTGGAACTATAGCAAATACAGTGGAACCTCACTTAACGAGCACCTCTCATAACGAGTAATTTGTATAACGAGCAAAACAAACTGTAAAAAAGTGACTCGCTTAATGAGTGACAAGAGCGGAAGTCCTGGATTGTGCACTTGTTACATCAGTCTGTGTTTAGCACTCGTTCTGCTAGCATCTTAGTGTCGCTT